GGTCCTGTCTCACGGGCGGTTCGGGCCGGCTCGGGCCGGGCACCGGTAACCCGGACAGCGTCTTCGGCCGGGCGGACCGCGCGACGCTCTGGTCCCGGTCCCGGAACCTGAGCGGGGACAATTGGCCGCCGTTCCGGGTCCCCCAGATCAGCGAACGTCCGCCGTTTCGACCGACGGGCGGTTTGCGGTTCCGGCCGGCGGCGGCGTCGTCGCAGTCATCATTGGTTCCGGCACCGGACCACTCGCCGTAATTGCTGCACCGGCCGCCGCCGTGCAAGTAACACGGCGGCCTTTTCGACGCGGCCGGCGACGACCGTGGATAGTTGGTCGGCGTCACAGGTTTTGGGCGGGCCGCGCACTGTGCAAGGTTGGATTGACGCTGGTCGCCGAGATGCTCTGGAAAACGCGCCGCAGTGCACGATATTAAAATATGATAATATTTTAAGACTACCGGCGAAATCTTAAGGACGAAATCACTGATAAGATAAAGTACTTGTACTGCAGTCGCTAACGATATCCTTCTGTTTTGCAGGCGTATCCGTCGCGAGGTCCTCTTGGTCTTCGATTGCATATGTCTCGACGATAACGCCACCGGCGGCCCCGTCGGCGTTTGGACATGGTTCGAGGACGATTCGTACATGTCCGACGTATATTGTACAATTTGTCACGTTAATGGCTCGACCGTCCGACATTTTTATGACGTGTTGTGCAATAATGACATAATTTATCTCAGAGTCCAAGTTAATAGCCGCTATCTGTAGTAATTATATGATTAGCATCTATAGATTTGGTATAAATTATAAATGATGTTATAGTTTTGAATTGAAATGTTTATAGAGTTAAGTATCTACGTCTTGTTGTGAAGGAACAAATTCTACGCGTGTAGTGACGTTTAGCCAACGCATATTAAAATAGCAAAAAATACAATGATAATAAATAAAAAACACTTGATTGCCTAATGCCTATGATATTAATAATTATTATACGTAGGTAGGTACATCAGCAATATTCAAATATTAATAAGTGTTCATAAACACTTAATTTAAATGTCAAACAAATGAATTCTCTTGTCGATCGGTCAATCCATTGTTTATAATTTCCGAGTTATATGGTGTACTCGTATATATATTATAAAATAATAATAATATATATAAATATAAATTATATATATTATTGACAACTGACATAAAAATAACTAAGATAAAATAGCTACACACGTTGCTGTGATAGTCGCAAAAATATACCTATAAATTTATCCATTTAAATAAAAAATTAAAAAACCTTAATAATATGAATAAATATTTAATAATCCTATAATGGGTTGAACTAATATAATAATTCCTACTTTTTCATAAATAAAACAATGTGCTCATATCTAATCAAAATTACATAGTCAAAGTCCAATCCATACATTTCATTGATGTATGTTAAATAATGATAAAAAAAAAAAAAAGAATACCTAACTTTAATCATCGTATTTATCTCTATTAAAAATAATAGGTGGATAAAAACGTACCTATTACAATTTTATCTAGTACCTATATTAATAAAATCTTTCCAACATGAAAAGAAGCTTCGAAAAATTAAAATTAAACTTTGATATCAAATTTTAAATTGAGTCGTAAAGTGATTTAACCTAGTACAAAATATAAGTATACTATCATATTATAGATAGGTACTTACTTAATTATCGATTTATGATTTTTAGTCACACTGTGGTTTTTATTTGATCGTGTTAAATATAATATACATAAAAAATAATTTTAACCTGACTTTCAGGCTCAAACAACATGTAATATAGGAGTTATTTCAGTACTTTAAAGTAAATAAAAACTTGACCTTGATATAAATGCAAAAATTGCAAATTTACCAAATACGTTCAAAATAACAAGTTAATGGCTATAATGCTAACATGCAGTTGGTTCATACTATAATGATGTCATTTAAAAATTAAAAAGTTTTTAGAAACATATTTAGGTACCTTCCTTACACGTTGACTGGCTAGTGGACATGTATAGAAAATCATTTTTAACATTAAATTTAGAGTCGATACGGACGATTAGTGTTTATGATATTTTTGTTATTATTCTTATCAATGAATCCGTTGGATCTAAACAAATAGTACCTATTACAACGTTATATTGTCACTTAAAATTAATATTTTAATTATAATTATGGGTTTTTAAGCTGAATTCTTTAATTTTATAAATTCAAAAGGTTTATGAGTACTATACGTAGCTGGTTTAATACTGCTTGCGACCCTATTTTTGGTATGTTTGTCAACTAGATTTCTCTATTTAATCATGTATTCTAAAATTGTATATAAATATAAATTATATAATTAATAATAATTTGTATTATATACAGATATTATTATTTATGCTGGGTATCTGGTTATTTTCATTACACAAAAAATAGTACCTGTAGCTTTTATTGCTTACCAAAAGAACTAAAATCAAGAAGACATTGGATCAAATTAATAAGGTAGCTTTTTCACATAGATACGTTTTTAATATAATAATTGTACTTAGTAGTAAAAATATTGTTAATAATCATATTAAAATACATTTAATTTGTTTAAAGTGACAATTTTCAATGATTTTCAATCTTGTATGGCATTATCGAACAATGCGCTATATAGGTCGACGTGCGACCCACTATTTGCAGCCACGATCAAGATCGAGTTATATTAATTTATTAGCTAAAAAATTGATATGTTTCAAAGTTTAAACTGAGTAAATGGTTGATTCCACGATTTAAAATATCTAACCAGAATTTGTTGTCGAAAAAAGATATTCAGTACCTGTAAGAAGAATCAGACAACAAGTGCTTTCGGTGCATGCAATCGTATAATGTGTATCGAATTAAAAAAAAAACGATTGTGAAACAAATGATGTCTAGTAACCTGTATAACTCAAATCGTAATTGACTACTGCAGTGTTATGACAACAATTACATTGCACAAAATTATAATTATATTAAATTTTCACGACAGGTGTAAAGTTAGTTGACCAAACTAGCTAGGCGTCAGGCGACTGCCGTTTTTCTCGATAACAAACCTTGTATGCTTGGCTGCATCCCAAAATATTTCAGGCACCAAGCTTTTATAAGGCACACAATATTATATTCACCCACTTTGTCTTAATTATAACCCACAGTAATAGGCGCCCGACCGATCCGGGCGACTATTTCCCACACGCCTGGCTTACGACTCGTATTCTATACTCGTAGGAAGTTTTTAATTTGACTGACATTACATAGCAATACGGGAATTAAATAAAAATATTTATTTTTTAAACAATGATTAAAGCTATACAGTACAATAGTATGTACTATGTAAATAGATTTCCGTAAAATGTGATATTATATATATTTTAATTATAATAAAATGAATAACATTTTTAAATTTTTAGTTAGATTGTATGAACACACTATTGTTTTTTATTAGAAAAAACAATGAAGATTGAAGAATGAACGTATGAAGTTAATATGTTTTCTAATTCCGGACCACGATTATTAGAGTTTAGAGTCTTAGACCAATATTAGACATGAGTTACTTAAAGTCGGCCTTAACCCTAACTTTCCATTTTCTATCATTATTAAATTACAATATTTCTGGTATAATCATTGTGATTATGAAGCCAATGAAATTTATTTGTATGCTTTTAGAACTATTAATACTACGCCTTACAATGGCGACATCTATTTTACGGTTTCGATGTAATAATAGCACAGCACCTCCTGAAATTTAATGAGATGCAACTTAACATACAACATTTCTTATCACTAGTAGTACAAAAAGTTGTCACCTAGCTATGTCAGCTTTGGTCATTGGTTCATGGTTGGTCACTCAACTTTACATAATATCTCTATGTTACTCTTGTAGTCTTGTTTACTTGAGGCTCTACTTTTGAGTACTCGCCAGCGTTTATTTCATTTAAAGTTGTCCAAACAGTATTTTTTAATTTTATTTCTCATTTAAATTCAAGTTTTTTAAACCATGACATCTGAATCAAACATAAAGAGACAGCAGTTTGTAAGAAATTATATTGAACGAAGAAAAAAATTGGCACTTGATTTAGTATTTACATTTAAATCAATACTCGAAAATATGAAAGTATTTAGGTTCGTATATAATTTATGTTACCTACTTTATTAAATGCAATGATATACTTTTTAAATCAAAGTGTAAATGTGCATATAGGAACAAAATATTGATAGCTATAAATCGTAAGTACTGTGTTTATGCGTAGAGTTGTTGATGGTTTAAAAATTAAATGTGTTCACATCATTCAAACAACTAAAATCAATTTTCAGAATATTGTAAGGATTTTTTTCTCAGTGAGTTTTTCATCATATGTTACTATCAATACCAAGCCAATGTAGCTTTGTATAATATAAATTATAGCTACGTATTTTGGTAAAATGCAATAGTGAATTATATTTTAATTTTAGTACACAAACATTTAAGAAAAATATTACAATTTAAAAATAAAACATTGCTGTAAGAAGTGATATACAAATATTTACTTTATCTGTAGCGATTTATGGAATTTTAAATATAATTTACATATATAAATATTTTGTAAGTTTATATATATATATATATATTATGTATCATACTTTGGGCAGGAATCATATGTTAGCATTATGTATATTGTTTAGTGATTTATACATAGAAAAGTGTGTATAGTAAAATATAATTAATTACAGAATATTATTTTGAATAATATAAATAATATGTACAATCGATCCGTAGGAATTTGTTTAAGAATAGAGCAGTAACACAAAAGGAAGGGGCCTCTGAGAAATGAAATGTTTGTGGTTCAAGCTAATAGGATTTAGTCGGACATAGAATCACAGATTTTGGAATTTTGCTAACCTGAGTTAAAATTATTTATTTCTACCTTCTCAATGTCTTATACAATTGAGGATTTTTATAATTTTATTAAAATGAGTGTATCATATGCAATTCATTTTAATCCCCTAGAATATTTCATTTACTTTATATACATAACAATTAGAGTTGAGGACTCCGAAATATTAAAAATTTCAAAATATGTATGTATTTAAATACAGATAGAGTGTTACTTGTAACTTGTAAGTATATTATTTTCCAATTTGAAATAATAGAAATTAAAAAATATAATTAACAAAAATCTTTCATCTATTATATCTGTAATTTTTTTTCGTTTTTTTTTTTTTTTCATTAATTTTTCTCATAATATTCAAAAATATGAAAAATAAACTTCAAATTTAATAATATAGTCACCTATTGTTTTGTTACTTATATATGGATCAGTTACTATCACATTTATTACATTGTTTTATGAATTTTCTTGATAAATATTAAAAAATTAATAGTTTATAAGCCTTTAGACCTAATAAAATAACAATCAATCAAACTAATTTAATAACTAATATTAAGTATCTTTTTTATTTTAAAACCAGTGTTAATTTTTATCTAATTTATTTTAAAATGTTTAATTAGACTAATGCGGTTTGGAACCAAAAAAAAAAATGAAGCTCGGTCTGAGATCACTAGTCTGTGTAATGAGCAACATAAATCTGATATCAAAATAGATTTACAGCTGAAACATATACATAATGAACTCAAGCCAAAAGCCAGAAAAAAAAGAAGTCATGACAAGGTAAATATTATTGTGCTAGAGTTATATTATTATGAATTATTTAAATTATATTTAGTTGTTACATTATGGATTTATTTTGTGTTAAAGTTAATTTTTGTATAATATTCAAATTGTATTCTATAGTATGGAATAATTTTAAATTTTATTTGCTATAAAAATAATTATTTAATTATATTTATGATAATGTCAGCAGTTCACTATTTTTTTTCTCTGATGCATTTGCAACATATCTAGAAAATTTGTGTTTAGCAGAACCATCATTGTGTAGTCAGCTTTATTAGAATTATTGTGTATTAATCTATTATTAAACTTAACATCAAAAAAATTATTTGTGTTTGTACATTGCTTTTCTTTTATTTGGGATAATTTAATAATTTCAAGTTATGAGTTTATAAAATAATTTATTTTCTGTCTTTTACATAATATAGCAACAAAAGTATTCAGTACTTCCACAATTGCTTTCTGTAAAAAGATATTTTTTATCAACAGCCAGTCATTACTCAATATTTACCTGTATATACATTTCACAGTAATAATGATTTGATAATCAACAATTTTTAAAACATTAAACAAATGAAATAAATAGTTATTTTTCAAACTTATTATTTAATTTGAATTTTAGTAAATAATAAACATTTTTTTTAATTTTTATTAAAAATGTATAAAATATTATTAAGTATTTTTGTGATAAAATAAATTTTATAAGACTTGAAATATAAAGTTTACATGTTACAGACTTATTATTTAAAATAAAATTCAATTAATTTCAGACAAGTTATGTTATGCTATTGAAGACATAATTATGTGTCTTAGAAATGTATTTTATCTGAAATGAATCACATTTTTAATTCAAATTTTTATACATCTAAAAACTGCAATAAAAAGAAGTATTTGTTTTTAATTATAAAAAATATCTTCCTTCAAATTTTCAATCAATGTATGAAGTTAAGTTCATATAACATTAAACGATTTTACTATTTTTAAAGGTAAACATTTTTTATTAATAACAAATTAACTATATAATTGTATTTACTTGCCATAAAAATTTTAAATTTTCATATAAATCATAAGCCATATAATATATTAATGACATTTTTTTGTATTACCAAAAATATTTTATGATATATTTTTAATAATCTTTTACTCAATAGAAATTTACAGTAGAACAGGATAAATTAATCTTAGTATTTTAAGTTTTATTATATGAAGTAAAAAAAATATAAGTGAAAGTTCCATGTCTTTATAAAAAATATTATTTATTAAAATAATTATTTTTTATTTAAATATTTAATTTAATTAAAATTTTAACTTCAAATATCTAAAAAAATAATTTATATTTACCTATATATAATTTTAAATAAAATTAAAAGTTTTATGAAATTTTAAACAACAAAATAATTTATAATTTTGATGAATTTTGTAAAAATTTTATTTTTAAACGCTAATAAAAATATTTTTTGACTAATATTTATACTTTTTAATGGATGTATGAACAACTTGTTATTAAGTGTGTTTTTAATAACCAAGTTTTTTTAGTAAAAACAAACATTTTTATCTTGCATTAATCAAAAAAATTTTTTAAATATTTTGTAAACTAATTCATATTAATTTGAATATTCTGTAAAAATTTGAAATTCAACAGTTATTCAATTTTGAGTTACTACAAAACAATTTAAATTGTAGAACTTATTGTGTTTGATCCCTCAAAGTTGAATGTTGAATCATTTTTACTGGTCAACTTAATTGAAATGGATAATTTAAGTAAGTAATATAATGTTTCAAATTTCTACGGTTAATAGTTTTTGAATTAAACAAAATATCATAAGTCATTTGATGTTAAATCATTATTTAACATGTGATATTTAATGTCACTGACATTTTAACTTTAGAAGCTCATAAAAGATATTTAGAAGTTTTTGTGATTTTAATAAATTTTATAAAATTTTAAACTTAAAACACTAATAAAGAAAAAATTATACCAATACATTTTTAGTATTTAAATAATAAAGTTGATTTTCTATAAAATCATACATTTTTTTTTTTTGTGATCAACCCTAAGGTTAGTTTTGCAGTTTTCCAAAATTTCTCCACTCATTTCTATTCTCAGTTAACCTCTTCAGCTTTTTATAGTTTTCTAAATCCGCATCAGAAATCATACTTTTGATGTATGATGTTCTTGGTCATCCTCGATCTCTTTTGCCATTTATTTTCCCTTCTATTATAATATACAAAAGTTTTTCTTCATGTCTTAAGAAATGATCAATCATATTCCATCTTCTTTCTTTTATGTTGCTAAGTATCTTCCTGGTTTCATTTATTTCGTTTAAAACATTTTTGTTAGTTCTTCTTTCTGTCCAGCTTACTCTCAACATTCTTCTCCAGCACCACATCTCGAAACTTTTGAGGAACTTTTGTTCTGCTTTGTTCAATACCCATGATTCGCATACGTAAAGTGCGAAACTCCACACATAAACTTTTATTAGTCGTTTCCTCGTACTTATATTCATGTTTTTAGAGCACAAAATCATACATACAAGTTTTCAATTAAAATACTCATTATTATACAGCATTTGTATTTGTACAGTCAAAATACTGCAGGTGTTTAATAAATCATTAAATTAGATCTTATATTCAATTTTAACTAAGTATATTTTTATCAAAACTGATTAAAATAATTTTTGCTGAATTCATAATTAATAAGGATAAATTGAATTAATATTACTATAAGTATTAATCAATAATACTTAATAAACAAAAATAAAAATGTAGTGCACAAAATGTTTAAGCTTATTCTTAACATAATTAAAATTAAAATTTTAAATAACTTTTATTATTTTATAGATTTTTCTAATACAATAAATTTAACTGATTCTTTAACAACATTATTTAACTACAGATACAAAAATTTACTAAATACTGACACTTTAAATAAGTAATTTGTATTGTGTGTAACTTAATTATAAAAAAACTTTTCATTATTATAATTTAAATAAGTTAACAACATTTTACCATTGTAAATGATAGATTTAAATTAGATGTTTATTTACATCAAAATAATTAATTTTTTTAAATACACTCCAGTACATTTAATTTATGTGTATAATTTTAGATCTTTTTCAGGTTATTTCAATAAATAAATTCACTTTTAAATCTAAATTCATCTAAATTTTTACTAAAGATCAAAAAAATGTATTTTAATGTAACCTATTATCAGGGCTGGACAGTATCTTAGATACAATTGTATCTTATATCTTGTATCTTGATACAACGATATAAAGTATCGAATATCAGTATCTCAATACTCAAAATCCAAGTATCTAGTAGCTATTATAGCGATATTGATTTTTGAGTATCTTGCCTATCTTTGATTATGGTACACCACACATATACATTGAACGGAATTTAAATTTACTTATTGCCTATGTATTATTATTAAGTTATTAAATTTTGTGGTCTATATTAACTAATTAATTTATATATTTACCTATACAACCTACCTAATTGTGTATAAATAAAATAAAAAAAAAAAAAATTATGACAAATTTGTTTTAATGTATCACGGGTATCGAGTTACATTAGATACTATTTAGATACTCGATACCCATATCGAGTATCTAAATATTTGAAATATAAGTATTAAGTATCTAGTATTTCAATACTCCAAATCCAAATATCTAGCGCCTTGTATCGCGATACTGATTTTTGAGTATCTTGTCCATCCCTGCCTATTATCTGCTTGTTTATAAGCCATATATTGACTTGGAGACAACTATATTAAGTGAATGGACATTTTTTTTAAGCTTAAATATTTAACTTGGTACATCAGTGGTAGAAATGTTAGTTTTGAATGGTTTTCAAGGTACTAGTAAACAGTGATTATATTTCACTAAAATATGGGACAAATTAAATTTACTTATATCCAAATATCTTTAACTTGTATACCTATGTCCTATGGATTATCATCGTCCATCATTGCACCAAGCACAGCACTAGAATTTTTTTCAGGGGGGGGAGGTGGCAGAGCGGAGCAAATATTTTTTTTATATGGGCTATTTAAATAAAATATAAATTTTTTTATGTATTTTGTGTATGAAAATGTTAGATCACAGACCTTCAACAACTATATTAATAATGATGTATAAAAATAATAATTTCTTTATTACATACCTTTGTGAATGAATAATTATGTTTCTTTTACTTACAATTCATAAATATAAATTAAAGTAATTGTGTTTTGATATGAACATATGAATTTGTTTTACTTAACTTTTAATACAATGATTTAGGACACTTTTGTTTGTTTATTTTCATCCAGTGATTGGTACATAATAAAGGTAGGTATTAATAAATAAATAGAAGATTTTTTTCTTATTTTACAAATTTTAAAACATATTTATTAAAATTGTAGTAGATTTTTTTCCTTATTAGATAATACTAGTAGGTGAATTCACTGTAAAAAGACTGAAGATGTTATTTGTTCAAACTTCATTAATTAAATTATTATAATCTATACTAAATTCAATTTATTTAGTAGTGATAAATATATTAAATAAACTAAATATTGTATTTTACAGAATATCTGTTTATGTACCAAACACTAAATGATTGAAAATCTTAAAACGTTAAAATAGTTAATAAAAATGTATAAAATTGCATCAATATCAGTAGGAATAATATTTTTTTAAATAAAAATTTGTGATACCTATCTAATATTTAACTAGTAAATTTCAAGTTTTTAGTTCAATACATTTTTAAATTGGTATTTGCATAGTATATTATGTATTAAAGAATCTACTTTGTATTTTTTGTTGAATTTTAGAGGTCAAAATAGTTCATGGATTTATATTAAAACATAGATACTTAAAGAAATCGTTTCTTTTTATTAACTATTAGTAACTTCTTACACAATATTAATGTATTAATTAAACATATTAAAAATAATAAGTAAACTAAACATATTTTTACCTGTATACAACAAACATTAAATTAAGTTAATAATATTCTTTGGTTTTTGTGCATAAAATATTAATATTATTAAATCGGTTTTTATAACAGCAAAAACTTAATACATATATCTTCGAAAATACGAAAGTATTTACATAATATTACTAATTTTTAAAAAGTATATTTCATAAATTCTCTAATGTAGCTCTTTTAAAAATAATGTTTTATGACTTTATTATATCGTACATATTTTTTAGTAGGGGGGCTGGCGAAGGGGCTGAATTGTTTTCTGGGGGGGGGGGCTAAAGCCCCCCCTCTTGTCACCGTTATTTTACTTGGATAAGGGAATATAGCTACAATATGTATAGTATCTTATTAAATATTTAGGTTTGCATTTCTACAAACGTGATATTTATCCAAAGCCATGGTCATTTCATTAACTTATTGTAGTAGGTACTACCATTGATTACATTATGTAAAATAAATTTAATAAATGTACTCAATTTAAGATAATAAATTTATGCTATCAGCTTAAAATTAAATTAATTTATACTTTATAAATATTATCGATTATTGACTAATTTTATCTTTAAATGATTTATAAAATATTTAAGTTATAATTTTTATTAGAAAGAGGTCTAAGGTTATTTTATATCTGTTTTCTGTTTACAATACAAGTAAGATAAGATGTGTTTTGACATTTAACTAGTTATCATCCAGTTATTAAAAAATAGTAATAATAATAAATTTTGGAAGGCTTAGTATGTTTCTCTGCTAATAAGATAAGTTAGTTGTATTCTATATTCTATATTTTAAACATTCATTCAATGGTTTTCAAGAAAAATATACAGTATCAATATGGGAATATTTTGCAGTTGTTCTAATAAAGATCAAATACAAGAAAATAAATTAGTAATAGAAACAATAATTTTAAATATTTATTTTTCAATTTATTGTGATTTATCACTATTTAATTATTATTTTTATTTTTAATTAGCGAGCATTTTGTGCATGCTGTCTGGGATTAGGACAACGAAGATACAAATGTGGTCAATGCAATTTGCTTACTCGCAAGAAATTTCATAAACTTGGTAAAAATACTTGTCCTAATAATTCTCTAGTTAGTGATGATACCGATGAAGATTCTTTGACATCTCAAAGTAATTAATGAAAAAATATATTTTATTAAAATTATTATGTATATTTAATGAATATGGAATTGATATTTAGGTACACTAAGCTCTGATGTTGATTTGCCAGAATTAAATGATTGTTCTGATCAGAGTTGTGTTATTAATCAACCAACTGATTCTGTATCTATTGAACGTCCACAAGCTAAAAGTATTATTTTAAATTAATATTATTACTATATAATTTAATGTTTTATTATATTTATAGAAGATGATAACGAAATTGAAGTTGTACGTCAATATTCTATTGCCGACTTTGAACTAATTAGGACTATTGGACGTGGTAGTTATGCCAAAGTCCTTATGGTTGAACTTAAAGAAAACCAACGCATCTATGCTATGAAAGTTATAAAAAAAGAAATGCTTACAAACGATGAAGTAATTAATATATTTTAATTAATAATATTTATAAATTATTGGTTATATTAAATATTTAACAGTTTAACATTAAATTATATTTTAATTCTAAATTATATTAGTATTTCTTTTTCTTTTTTTCTTTTTTTTGTATTAGTATAAAAACAGCATTAACTTTCTAAATTTAATCAGTCTGTATGTTACCATAATATGTTTGATTGTTAAATAACAGCAAATTATTCAAAATGTAAATTTATGTACAATCTTTTTTTTCGTTTTTCTAACAACATTTATAAATTTATCATTCATAATACATTTTTTTGTTTTTTAATTTTATTTATTCATTTTAAATAATAACATAATTTTAATTTAAAGTTCAGACTATTTTTTTGTGTAAGCCAATTTCTCTACTCAGATATAACAATCATTCATCTCAGTGTTTTAATATCAAAACAGCACTTTTTATTTGTAATAAATTAATTTTTTGTAAAGAAAATATAAACAAGGCAAGGTTGTTATATTATGTACATGTAGCTTAATAGTTAAATAATACATATAAAATATTTGATATGTATTTTTTTAAATTTTAGGATATTGATTGGGTACAAACAGAAAAAAATGTTTTTAAAACTGTCTCTAACTATCCATTTTTGGTTACTCTCCATTCTTGCTTCCAAACAGCCAGCCAATTATTTTTTGTAATGGAATTTGTTCGTGGAGGTGACTTAATGTATCTAATGCAAAGGCTAAAACGACTGTCTGAAGAACATGCTAGGTTTTATGTAGCAGAAATTAGTTTAGCTTTGAACTTTTTGCATAATAAAGGTATAGTTATTGTTTCCTAATTAATGTTTTAATTTATTTCAATTTTATAACCGAGTCACAACATAATCTTCAACAAAAAAATTTTGTCTTTATATTGGTATATTTCAGGTATAATATATCGAGATTTAAAATTGGAAAATGTACTGCTTGATCATGAAGGCCATATAAAATTGACTGATTATGGAATGTGTAAATATGGAATAAAGCCTGGAGAAACAACTTCTACATTTTGTGGTACTCCAAATTACATGGCTCCAGAAATTATTAATGCAGAAGATTATGGATATAGGTATACATTTTTTTTAAACAAAACTCTTTATAAACATGGCTATTAATATTTATTGACTTATTGTTGTTGAATAAAAAACATATGTTATACTCTTGTACCTTACATCTTATTACATTAAATACTTGATGTTAGCTTAATTTGTTTTGTTTTTCAGTGTGGATTGGTGGGCTTTAGGAATTATTTTATATGAAATGTTGGTTAGCAAAAGTCCATTTGCTGAAGCATCAGTAATTGCTGAGCAACATTTATTCGAAGGTAGTATAATACAAATAATACAAACAATGGTTATTTTAAAACAGTTTTCTCATCATTTGAAACTATTTTGTAGCCATTTTGAAAAAATCTCTTCGTGTTCCAAGATCACTTTCGGTTGAAGCAGCTTTGGTTTTGAACGGATTTTTAAATAAAAATCCTGTTGATCGTTTGGGTTGCAAAAAATACACTGGCTTCTATGAAATTAAGACCCATCCATTCTTCAAATCTATTGATTGGGAAATGGTAAATCATCATAATTCATAAATTTATATTTTTCTATTGTTTTAAATCAAAAATATTACTTTAGCACTTATAAAATTTAAATATTTATATGATTTTAGTTAGAACAAAAGCAAGTTAGTCCTTTTTATAAACCGGAATTAGATTCTGATCGTGATCTTGCCAATTTCCCATCAGAATTTACAGATGAACCTACACATTTAACACCTGGTGAATTGTAAGTAGATTTAAAATTCAATCACTAAGAATGAAATCTTTGTTTTGATAGATGGAAGTCTATAATTAATAACAATATTATATCAAAACTAATAATAATGAATACAAATTTATATGATATGCTTATATTATTAAACAAATTGTTTTATAACATCATTAACTAAAAGCATTATAAATGTGTTGTTAATTCAGCTCAAATTAGTAATTACTAATTTATTACATTTTGAAAACTTTATTTTTATTTTGAACACATTTATACAACTCCAAATATCTATGCACCTATAGGCCACAACTAAGAATGGGCATTACCAAATTATAAATTAAAATTAAGTTAAATTCTTCATTTCTTTTTTGGAACAAACTAAGCATAATATGTTAATTTTTTAACATATATTATGCGTTACCTTTAAGGTAATATTTTATGCAGATATATAATTTAATTTAATTATTAGATAATTTATTTATAATTTTGTCACTTAAAAACTATATTTTTATTTATTTATTTATTTATTTATTTATGAAATTGCTAGATTTGAAATGGGCTGCTTTCATATAATTGACTTCATAGAAATATTTGATATAATCATAAAAATGTCCAAGACTGCACAGGAAATTCCTAAAACAATAAAATGTGTAATCATTAACAGTCTGTGTTTGGCATAAGTGTGTTGGTAATTTTTAGTCACTTAATAGAAAGTTGATACTAAATTAAATCTAATACTTGTTAATAATATGCAATAGTAGCTTAAATTATATATAATTTTGAAAACTACCAGTAAGATAACATATCAATGTTTTTTTTAATTATGTATTTAGTATCACTAAGTGACAACAAAATGAGTCTCTTTTTATTATCTATTTTATTTAATCCTTAATTTCTATGACCAAGAAAATTCCCACTGAGTATTGCAGTGTAACAAAAAAATAAATAAAACACAATTTTTTGCAGTTTAAAAAAAAAATATTTGAATTATTGGAATTTTTGTTTTTTTATTGGTATAAAAAATTAAGTTGTTTCTTACCAATTACAAATATTTACAATTGTGCATTTTTAACTATTTGAAAACAATAATAATAGAAATGTTATGATAATGGCAGTGTTATCTGTAAGAAAATATTTATGTAGAATACTCCAATTAGTGACGTAATAATAGGTTATAGCAATGTAGTAATTAAATAATGATAATAAATGATATATAAAATATTTTAATAAACATTAAACATTTTTAACATATACTACAGATAACATATTGTGTATAGTTATCTAAGAAGGTCGTGTGAATGACCACACTTCAATTCATGTTGAGGTGGGTGTATTTGTAAATTGTAGTTGAGTGAGACAGACGAGTTGAACAATAAGTTATGGAAGTTTTTGGATAAAGTTTTTATGTGGTCTAGAATTTATTGGATTTGGAGATCTTTATGTAGGTTTATGTTTCTTATTAATCAAAGTACATCTGTAATTAATGGTTACATTTTTTTTTTCTGGAATATTTGAATTTTGTTAAAGTGAAAAATCACATACTTGCATAAATATTAATATATTTATGATTTTATTATAAATGTTTAAAATTGAATACATTTTATAATATTTGTATTAACTCAGTATGTTTCTAAAACACCTATAAATAATATTTTATGTTATAAACTAAGCTCTACCTAAAACTGTTTTTAAAATGCAATAATGTCTTTTATATGCATAATATATGATGTTGGCATTCTTTTAAATTTTCAGGAATATCAAAAAATGACAATATTTACTAATTATTTACATTAACTATCTATTTTTGTGAATTATTAATTAGTATGGCATATAAATAGGTAAATAGAATTTTTATTATTCTCATTAAATACCAAAATATATACTTCACTATTAAAATCTCGATTCTTATAATATGCCAAAATATTGAAAATTAAGAAATCTAGTTAAATTTCATCCATCTCTAGTCAAAACTAAATTCATGTAGATCAAATTATTTTTTGTGAAAGCGCATTTAATATAAATACATACTTAATTCGAAATTAAAATTATGTTTATATATATTTTTATTTTTTGTGTTTGTGATTATTTAATTTGTTTTTAATAAATCACCAAATTTCGTTAATAAAAACACTAGAATGGAAATTTATCAACATAAAAAACGTTAATAGTCTTGAAATAAGAAAATTAATGTTCTCCATTAAAATAATATTGCAATGTACTAATTTATTTGTGAATATATTGAGATAGGAAGAGGGATAAGCGCAGTAATATTGAAATTATTTTAACATTCTCTGCTGTGTAACGCGCAGATATGCGGCCCATTATATTTTATTATCTTTTAATGGTTATATACTTATATGCATACCTATCCTAAATTACACATTTACATTCACAATTATTTTCCTATTTTAATGGACATTTTTGAAATTTTGTATGTTTGAGCCGTAAAAGACGGGAGGAAGTCCGCTGTGTTTGTACGTACAATAGGTATCTATTTGTACCAACTTATAAAGATATAAATATATTAATATGTAAATATTATATTTTACTCTAAGCCTTCTCATGTAACTCACATAATTCCAAAAAAACTGATTAGTAGTCAATTCATAAAAGTTTATCATCCTACTGAATAGTTTAAAAATAAATATTAATACATATCATATAATTAACTTTTGTATATATTATATTATTAAAATAGTAGGTAAATTGTATTTTATTAAAATCATAGATGTATGGAATATTAGTGTTTTTCAACCAAAAGTTGCTAACAATTAAAATTTAAAAAAAATAATTGGAAATCTCAGTAATAAATATGTATACTTATATATAAATTATATATACGTATCTAAATTCAACAACTATGATAATTAGCTTAACAATTTATATTAAACCAAGGATAGACAAAATAATTTAAGGTCATTAACAACAAAAAAAACCATTAAAAATTATTATACTATAATATTTGAAGATTTATTGTATCTACATTTATTTATGGTAAGACAAATAAACGGTTCTTAATACTTAATGTTTCATATGACATAATATTTTTAGTATTTATTTTTTGTGATAATGTATACATGTATATAAAATATATATTTAAAGATCGCTAAAAAAATTGAATATTCATTTGGGGGGTTGTCTCAGAAAAAGGTCGAAAAACTCTATGGTATATATATATATAATATGGACAATATGGTATAAAATAAAGTGTATAATATGATTTCATTAGTTTATGCAAATCGAATAATTTATTGTTGTGTTCTTCATTGTTTTATTTTATTTTGAATTTTTTCAGACAAATCATTGATCAGTTCAAATTCGAGGGTTTTGAATATGTGAACCCGTTTTTTATTTCATAAATGGGTAATACAAGGATTTCCGTAACATGGAGCATTTCCATGTTTGACTATCATTACTAGCCATTGTTTTAGGGGATGGCCTGCTCAACTTCCTCCCCTACCATAACAAAATGTTATTTTAAAGTAATACGATACTGCCGACGATAACGTCATTTATTTTATGAAATTATTATTATTATTATTTTAGAAATATATATTTATATATTAATATATACATGTTTGTACATTTTTTTCCCATACCTACTTTTTTGTAAGATAATCAGCAATTTAACGGGTTACAAATTTATCTAATTAGCTATTAATAACACTCGAAGTATAATATTTCTTCTGATAAATCAGACAAGTCCACTTTTTTACGAAAAAAATATTCCTCACAAGTTAGTGTAACAGTTGAAATATCAGGTTATTCCTTATATATTATAACTTATAAGTAAGTATAGAGTTTATAGTAAATGGACTTATTTAATTTAATTTTTTAATTTTTCACTTTTCCAAAATATGATCTCTTACAATGGCCACTTTAGTATTATATTTAATGTATTATTAAAAGTTTTAATTTTTCTCATATTATTATTTAATCAACTGTATTAGATAATTTAAAATATTTAAAACTCATTGATAAGACGTGTGTCGTTTAGATTTTAATAAAAAAGCCTAAGGTAACAATATAATACAATATGTATATCATCTATAATGAACGGTCAAGAGACCGTTAAAACACACCGTTATACCTACAATTTTTTTTTTCTAATATAATCGATTAATTAATTTAAATATACATAATATTATATATAATTATAATTGTAAATAACAATATATTATTCTAAGATCCTTATTATTAACACGTATTATTTTTTTATAACTTAGTGACAATTATATATCTGTATTGTTTATGTAAAGTGAAAAAAGTTATCATAAAAACTCAGTGATGTTTCCATGATGCATACAAGTAGGTAATTACACCAAAAATATTGGATGAATACGTGTACCTACAACCTACTAACTGCAGTACTAAGCGTACGGTTCAAGTATGTATATAAGTATAATATAGACACCGATTTTTAAGTCATTTCAATACGTCGATATTATTATTATAACCAGCAGTAATTTTAAACATCAAAATAAAGTAAATTTTACTGGAGATCTTTAAATTAATGCCGTTTTACCTAGGATGACGATTTTCGACATGTCTTTATAGATGATATCGACTGAATATAATTACGATAAAATTAAACTGTTATCGGTCTATAGCGTCTAATCTAAATTAGATAGAGTTATTAAGGTCACTGTTATATTATATATTAAAGAAAAATAATGTTGAACGGAGATGGTTCATTAACTATTTAAAAAAAAAGCATTAATCATATTATTACATCCAATTAACAGCAATCGCTCGGTCCACAATCTAAAATAAATATATTTATAAGACTGATTGTAACTGGACATTTAGTTTTACATATAAAATATAAATTTAAATAACACGAATTTTTATCTCTATGTTGGATCTAAAATATTTAATTACACAGTACACACATAACAAGATCTGATTTACAAGTCGGTAGTTTTTAATGTACGATTTGATAATATTTTGATACCAATGAATCGGTAATAAATTCTATTTTTCACATTTGTTTTATACTTGAATTGTATTTTGATGTTTGTTAAGTCTTATAAATATTGTAAATTGGGAACAAAACTGCCTTCTCCACAAAGAGTTGCCGCTATAAAATAAGTATTATCGAGATTGAAGTAAAAAATATATACATTATCGATAAATATCGAAATAAATTTTACTAATTATTATACTATTCCATTAGATATCAAATATTTTATCGTAAATAATTGTCATACCAGGCGCGATCACAGATAATAATATTTTATTTTTTTTTTCGATTTATAAAATATAGTAGACGCAGCTTATAAGACTCTCACTTTGGGATTAGAATAAAACGAGTCTTGCAATCGAATGAATCTAATAGGCGAAGTGGGAAAAATAAAAACAAAATATTCATGAATTTTATTTTATTATTTTGTTTTTTTTACCTAAATACATATTACAAATTACTACTCGTATTATTAGTGAATAAATGAAAAAAATTTGATTAAAAGATTAAAATTATATATTTTTATAAAAATCATTACATATTAATATAAAATTATAAATTAAATATGTACACATCTACTTATTATTTATGAAAAAAAATTGTAATTCTGGTTTGTTTTAAATTATTTGTTCTAATATTCTGGAAATGAAATTTCTGTTCAAAATTTCTTATGTAATTTTTGAAAACAAATTTATTTTTAAATTTTAACCAAAAATGTTTATTTTATACCATTTTTTTTTTTTTTTTACGAAATTCGAGCTTTATAAACGAAGTGATGAGTCTTATAACCAGTGCCGTAGAAACCACCGGTGTAGGTAGTGCATTTAACCGGGGCATTTGTATTGAAAGGACCTTACCGATTACCTGATAATGTGATTAAAAATATTTAATACAACAAAGAAAAAAACTAAATCATGTAAATTATAAATTTACAATATTGTAAAATGATGAATATTAGAATGGTATTTTTAATTATGTAGGTAGACACGTAGACGGTAAGATTTACATGTAGTGTTCTTAGCATGAGACGCGGAAACCTGTGATATTTCTGGCTTGCAAACTATATCAGTTATATAATAATATATAACCCAAATGCAACCCAAAAGCGCAAAAATAAATATTTCATAAGCAAAAAAAAAAAACCTTTTTAACAGACCATAAGCGCAAATAAATTTTACAATTATAAAGTGTATTTTATAAATTGGAAATAAGTTTATACTGTTACTGTATATATATTGTATCTATAGTTATCTCAAGTGATTATCAATTATCATTTATCAACCTTCACCGTAATTCGTTGCCACAAAACGAAAATTCAATCGAACTCGATCGCTGTTGATGTATTTTTCAATTATAAAAATACTATATATTTAATTTAAATGAAATTTATGTCTTATATAGTATAATGAGGACAATATTTGTTTTTGCGCTTTTATCTCACTGTTACAAAAGGCACAAAAGCGCAAAATGATAGGCGCTTTCGGTCTATCGAAAACATAGACGATTTGCGCTTTTGGGTTTCACCGATTTCGTCTCGTGTTATCGCGATTATTTACTTCAAAACGTCTTTAGATTTCATATCAATTAGTAAAATAGGTATCTCCTTGTCGATTACAACTTTATTAATAAAAGTGCGTTGTTGTCATTCATTCGGTAATCCGCGTGGAATCTACAGCCTAATTCTAGTGTACGAATATCACTAATTTTTATTCGAATTAAAAATGTCTACCAAAAAAGAAAAGAAAAAATCAGAAAGAAGAAAATGTTTCAATAAGCTTCCCAAAATAAATGGTTTTTGTACAAAAACAAGTGGATTGCCAACCAACGAACGGTATGTAATAAACTATTATATTTTATAAATAAATATGAAAGATGCATGAAATAATACAATTTACCATTTATGTCTTGGGAAAATAACTATACTCAGTGAGTTGTTATTACATTCTAAAATAATACCAAGTTATTAATAAATTATGTGTTAGTTTTTATAAGACAATGTCATGTATTTTGTTTAAATTTTCTGTGTGTATTGTGTATAGTATATGAATTTAATGTAATACAATTATTTACATTAGTGATCTAATAATTTTAAATAATGAATTCCTAATAAAATCTAGTTATTTTAATGTACTTCATAACGTTTTAGATGTTGACTTATTAAAATATTTTGATGTTATACGAAGTTATATAATATGAAACTTGTGTAAATTTGTTTATCTCCAAATACTTTTTTTAATGCATGCGCAATCGTAAATGGTACTTTATAAATGACTATTTAATTAAGTAATCACAATTTACAGGTAAATTCGACCATTTGATAGCTATTTATACTTTTATGTTTGACAGAATTGCTTTCTGATAAGTTTCATACCAAGTATCAAAATTAACTAATATATTTTTTAGTTGGAATGAACTCATTTTATCGGCAAAGGCGCAATTTGAATAGTCAAAACCAAAGTGTTGTAGGGGTCTTTGTAGTTACTAAGGAGCCTTACTAAACAGCGTTTACATTTATGGGGCGCCTATACCAATTTCCATCGGGGCACGCAAATATCTGGTTACGGCACTATAGTTATAACCGAATTTTTATAACGTATTTAGATAAATACAGTCCGTTTCATCCACTGAGGCAGTGGCTATTCGCTCATCGTGGGCGGTGGTGGCGAGAGCATCGGTCGGCGGCGCCCAGTGGTGCCAAAAACCAATAGAATGTTATGTCCGCTCCCCGCGGCGCACACGAGAGCCGAATAATTCGATGGAATGTTCGTAATTCCAACCTCGCCCAGAAACCTTCTAGAACCTTCTAAATCCATGCCCTGTAACGAGAACGAACATTTTTATGTTTTGATTTTGAAGTACGGCGTAAAGAAGACGGGGTCACCGCTGTTCGTACCTACCTATAAAACTCGCGTTCAATTCGACGACGGCCTTGTACTCTTTTAGTTCAAATATATTCCACCGCAAGCACCACAGCGTCGTTCGGCGTCCCGTAGTACTTACAATAATACGATTATTATCGTACGCGTTCACGCGTTATAAGAAAGTTCCATTTGATATAATATTATTAACTTTGATTATGCGCATTTGTGTGTAATTTTATAAAAAATCTCGTTCGATTTTATTTGTACGAATACTATGACAGGTGGTTATGGACTTTGGATAATTAAAAAAAAAAAAAAAAACCCCTAAAAACCTACATACCTATCTATTTTAATCGAGTCATAGGCCATAGCTAACCGTACTTTAAACCCAACACGATTTTGGTTGTTTAGAGATACATTTTTATGTTATGATTTCATATTATCATAACGTGTTGACGAGGAACAAAAATCCTAAATTTATGCAGATATTTTCATTTTTCATCGATGATTAATTCTGCGATGTATAATATAATACGACTGTGCGCGTTCATACGAATACAAGTCAAGTATAAATGGTAATATTCGCATTTTTTCAACTAGGTATTTTGTTTTGAATACAATATATGTTTTTACTATGACGTATTTCCTAACCTCCGCATAGGCTCCATATTAAAATTCTACATTCGGTTTAATGTGTTAATATAAAGCGAAATGCACCGATTTTCCTCAACACAATATAACAGATAAAATTAACAACCACAGTTGGTACTACCTACAATCGGCGTAAAATACGGAAGATATATAAATATATGACAAAGGGATGTACGTACCTACCATTACTGCGGCTAAAGTATTAGATATAAAACCGCATACCCAATTCCACGAAAATTATACCTTTTTTTCTAACAATACCGGGCTCTGTCAAAAGAGCCTCGCCCTTTTCTACCAATAATTGTTTACTCCAATACCCTGTAGCAATGTTTTCACTAGAACAATTTTTATACCTACCATAAATGCTATTGTATACAATCAGCTCTTATTTAATATAGTATAAAATATTTATAAAACATTACGAATTTTATGAAATATCATTTTTACAGATGCAGTAATATAAATAATAGTTGAACTCTGTGCCAGACGATTAGTTCTACCGGTATAAAGGTACTTATTCATGACCTTATCTTCAAAACAGTCTAAAGAAAAATATTGAATAAAGACAAACAATAGAAACAGAGTAACATGATAAAATAAATATTTTATTACCACGTAATTTCGTTTAAATTTCACGCGTACAATATCCCACAATAATAATTTAAGAAATCTATTTTTTAATTATTTTTTTTTTTTATTATACGGTAAAAAAAAATCAATCTAAGATTTATTAACTGTGGTGTATTTTAAAATAATTATTTAGCTTGAGGAAGTAAATACCTAAGAATTTCGGATATTATGTCGATAAATATTAACGGGATGGTAGTTTGATTCTATGATAAAAAAAATTACAATATAAAATATCTATAAAATATCTTATATTGATTATTGCTTTAGAGTAAGCTGTTTCCCTTTCAGTATATTAATTTATACTAAACTGAAGGAGTTGTGATGCTTTCAATAGTTCTGTTCGTGTCTGATCCATTATCATATTATAACTTGTGTCGTCCGTTTACTTTTCTTAATACGGCACTATCGTGCCAGTTGTCTCTGTAGAAAATCACAATTGTGACTGCTACAACGCTGCATGACCTTATAGATGTTATTATTAATTAGGAACTTAACACTTATACAGTTATATAATAATGAATCTTCTGCGGGTCGGCAACTATAGGTACAACAGAGAACAACGCAATACGATCCAGCGAACCATCGCCTATAGTGACGGCGCACGTATTCTGGGGCCCTGCATAATATTTTTTGTGGGGGTCTTGATGCTTATAGAACTAGATGATTATGAACTTATGAAAAAACAATTGTATAGACACGGGGCCCTGGGCATGTGAGCGGAGTGCTTCCCCTAGCGCCGTCGCTAACTGCTTAACGTCCATAATATTGTTGCAATCACGTAAGATCCGTATCACGGACATATTTTCAAGCTAAAACGTATATTATTGATGGGAAATCATCGTAATAAATAATATTACGAGTAGTTTTGATGTTTGGTCGTTACAAATGTAATTATTAAAATTAAATTAACCGAATCACTCTAACACGAATTGCGCGATAAAATGTATCAAAAATGACAAAACCACATAGTTGACCTTTGGGCTTTGATAAATGAATCATCGTTTAATTTTTATAATAAGTGATTATCAACAATGTAAATTTGGAAATCAAAGATAATGTTATAAATACAATAAATAAAAAGTTAAGTATAATGCTTAAAAGTAAATTAGATTATTTACATAACTACTTCAAGAAATGTAAATTATAATTCATTCGAATGAATCACATCCGGTCATTTGATTATTTATATTTCGACAATACTAATTATCATTCGATTATTGAAATAATTTAATTATTCTCATCAATAATACGTATCGTGTTACTGTAAAAAATAAAACGAACCCATCCCTTCTAGTTAATGGCGTATGCAGAATATTTTTATGGAGGGAGATACCATTTGTACACTTATTTTTGTATATACTACAAGTACTTATACAATAATTGTATTCTTGTATTTAAGATCGCAGCACAATTATATTTTACTTTACAACTTAATATTAATTTGTATTGATGCTTTTGAAAATTCATCAAGTATCACAGCATCTATTGAGATATTAATGTTCTGATGGAATATTTAGCATTGTCAATCCATTTAAGCCAGATGCTACAGTTGTATTTCGTGGATAGGTTGTGAACCGGTGAAGGGCGAAGAGTAGAAAAGGATCTTTCTGGGGTAGCTATTGTTACTAATAAAGTAGGTATGCAAAAGCAACGATAATACGTTTACATACCTACAAACACACATACGTGCGCGTGGGCGTGCGCACACTTACATATACACACATTACACGTGCGCGCGCGCACACTTACACACGCACGCACGTTCATACATACATAAACCATACACCCGTGTATAAACCAAGTGTGCCCAGCCCGCAGGAGTATTCCAACCGGTTCGTAACTGTATTATAAAAATTAGAAATTTGTATAGGTGTAAAAAAAAAATAAAAAATGTTATTAATATAAGTTTTTGAGTATTACGGCATTCGGTATTAACTTTCCCCTTTTTATTTTGAAATATATTAAAATTTAAAATTTAATTCATTATTTTTAGCAAACAAAAAATGTGAACTTGCAGTTACTAATAACGAAATAAACTAGCTGCAACTAGTGTGGAAATATTTAGTACTTTAAACACACACGAATAGAGTCATAAATCCGATAAGTGAATAAAGTTAATATTATATCAGATAAAATGTACAAAATAAATCATGTGAAGTTTATACTGCCGTAGTATAAATGTAAATTTTTATTATGACCCGTAAGTTCAAAAAGTTTGGGCACGTTTGGTATAAATGTTAGTATTTTTCCCGCTCAGCGTATACAACCGTGTAATAAAATACACATAAATGTACAAATATATATAAATGTTACTACAACAGTAATTACTTTTTAGCATAAATGATTATTATCTATATTAAATTCAATATTTTATACATGTTTCACTTATAGGGGTGAGGGGCAAACCTCTAAACCCCTCTTCACGTTCGTTCGGGTAATATTTACAGTGTAAATTCTATACCTACATAATAACGTCTGTGTTATAGTATTTCAATTTAATATTTTATAATCGAATAATAAAAATATTATTTATTAGTTATTATAATATGAATAATTTAAGTAGGAATAGTAGATATATACTCATACACCGAATAATTCGATAGATTTTTGCTAAGCATACTACGTTTTATTTTGTATAACCGTTATCATTTATAGTTGAGATTTATTTGCAAATTAGGTCAAGTAATGTGTAAACAGTCCGGCTCACGTGTGGCGGTTCAAACAGGAAATAATAATAAAAAAAAATTAGTTGCAAATAGTTGTTGGCGACGATGCAGGCATATCAAATAGATTTTTTTGTAAATCAATTGTTTGATCCCATCTTCAATACCTATGTTATATCGTTTTATAATTGTATTCAGACTAATCCGGACGATAGGAATTTAGGTGCCATTAGAGGCAGTTGATAAGTATGAATTTACTTGGCATGTTAAAATGCGGCCAGAGCAGACTATTGTATTGGCTATTACAATAGTCGTGAAATTTGGGTTATTAAATAATGCGAAATTTTCGTGGACAGACACCCTGCTGCGGCCTATCAAACAACGACAAAACCTGTGTGACGACAAAACGGCAGTCCGGCCTTTGTATATTCATACAGTAGGTATTCGACCATCGAGGAGTACGGGATCGTTGATTTCAACAGGATTTAATAACGGTGAGTACCAAATGATTATTTAGACAAAAATAGTTCGCGCGGTCACGGCAGTGAAGTTATTGTACAGAATACATTTTCAATATCTTTTGATTTTCGAATTTTTTTTTTCTCGTTAAGCCACGTGCATTTTGTGTACGAATGTATTTGTTCCGCTTTTTACATAATATTTAATAATTGATTATTTAAAATTAAAGATCTTATGATACCATACTAAATGAGTTGTAAAATGCATATGTAATAATGATAATTTTGAAATTTGGATGTTAATTGTATGTGGAATTTGGGTTTTTCACTAATTTGAAATTGTCAATGGCAGGTACATTGCTGCGACGCTGCGGTCTATCAGACAACGACGACGACATCTGTGTAACGACACAACAACAGCAGTTCCGACCTTCGAATTTATTCGTACAACACTCGACCATCGAGGAGTGAGTGATTCGTTGATTTCAACCGGAATTAAAAACGGTGAGTACCAAATGATTTTTTATGTAAAACAATTTTGGTGAACGGTAGAATGTCGATTGTCGGTCAAAAATAGTTCTCACGGTCATGGTAGTGTAGTTATTGTGCAAAACACATTTCCAATATCTTTAGATTTTCGAATTTTATTTCCTGATAAACCATGTACATTTCTTGTACAAATATATTTGTTCCACTTTTTACATAATATTTAATAATTAACTATTTAAAATTAAAGATCAATGATATAATATTAAATTATATGTACTATGTAGTAATGATAATTTTGAAAATTGGATGTACATTGTACGTGGTAATTCGGATTTTTGACTAATGTGAAATTGTACTTTATATACTATCGAGCGAAATTATATACATTACTGCCAATCAAATGATTCAAATGTCGCGTGGATTGTTTTCGCTAAAAATTATCGTTGACTTATTTTAATTATTAAATTTTATAAAATGTATCTTTCTATTTATTATTAATATTTCATTTATTTATACTTATATGTTAATTCAAAATGTATATTTTGAGGGGTGGCCAGCAAGAAGACACTTACCAGTCGTCTAATACATGAAAGATACACTTTATATTATTAAATAATAAAAACAAGTCAACGACAATTTTTAGCGAAAATGTCCACACGACATTTGAATCATTTGATTGCCAGTTTCGCAAATAAGATTAGGTTAGACTTATTTTATGTCAATTGTAAACTAATAAGTTTATCCGATATAACTTCCGAAAATGTTTTTGAATTTATCACGAAGTTAACTTGCAAAATAGATTGCAGTTTACTAAAAAACCTTCAGATCTAATTTTTCAAATTCCAACTTCTTTAAATACTCAAAAATAATTAGATTATTATATTTTAAATATTAAAAATTTTAAAATGTTTTATTGGAGTGTCAGAGTTAATTGAAAAATCTTAGATAGTCGTTATAAAGTAAATTTCTAATGAATTTAATTACGTAGTCGGAAATCGTATCGGATAATATGTCATCTAATACAGATGAAAAAGGATTGATAATTTTATTAAAATAAACAAAACAATACATTTTCGCGTAACGTGTTATTGTCATGTCATGGAGAAGGTGATTATTGATAATCTACAATCTACATCTACATACACTTGTAAAATTGCCTATGTTGAACTCCTTAAAAATGGATAGTATTAAATAAGCAGGTGCAACACGATTACGAACGTCTTACCTTTTTCATAACACGATCGCAAACAAATATCCCTTATCAAAGAATTTTTTTTTTTATTTTAGCCAAAAAACTGGAGATTGCAAATATTTTTATAGGCTGCGTTGCTAAACTTATAATTTCTGAATATTTTTTATTTTGTTCGGGATAATTCAATTAAAACATTTTTTTTTTTTTTTTTTAATAAAAACTATTTGATATTAATAATACAATGTTACATTAAACTACGTTATAAACTAAAATAAAATTATACAAAATAATATACATAGTGTTATATGTTGATCATTTTAAAAATTTGTAAATGACCAACACTAAATCTGGCAACACGGCTGACGGTTTAAGGCAGGTAAAAATGTTCACAGTCGTGTGACGGAAAAAGTCCGTTAGCAGTTGTTCCATTTGCAATCGCATTTCACCTCAAATAATTCACTATAGAGTTAGAAAATATTTTAAATTGAACTAGAATATTTATTTCGTCATTAATTATTATGTTAACCGGATACTATTATTATTATTAATTTATTCGTTTTATTACAATATACTTTACCGGTGTATTTATTTATCTTATGTCAATATAGATAAGAAATGGCTCAAGGTGGTAATAGACGGAAGACAGTGGGTTACTGCAATACCAATCAGCGACCACCGAATAGGCCGAGGTCGTCGGTTTTGTCTGATCATCTGTTGAGAGAAATGGCTAGGAATGTATTCATGCACTTGAATTGGGATAATAACCCGGATGTTGTTTTAAGCTCGAATCAGGTTATCAACACGGATTGGATTTTTGGATTCGATCGAGCTTTTGATACTAGTGATTCAGAGCCACAAGAAATAGAGTCAGTTGCTACGATGCCATTAACTCGTATTCGGTCTAACAATACGGCGTGGGCTTTATTTATGAGGGGATTTCAATTGGGGAGTTATATGATGCAAATTGCTAATGATCCGTTACAGGACCCACAGGAACTAGAACAAAGTGCACAGTTCCGGGTCCCCCAGCCAAACCAAACGCCGGAAGAGGCCCCGATGCCGTCACTGTTAGAGGAATTGCTAAATGAAACAGATACAGAATGGGATCTGGATTCAGACACACCTGATTTACTGGAATCGGAACCATCATCATCCACTTCAATACTTTCACAAGTGGGAGAGCATTCAATTGAGACCGAAGTGCCAGTGATCGTGATCGAGTCTGATGACGAAAATGCTCCGTATCCGGAGTGGGAGGACGCTCCGGAAACCCAGGCCGAGCCCGAATCAATGGAGGAGGCCCAGTCTAGGTCGACGGAAGAAGCCCAGTCTCGGTCAACGGAGGAGATTCAATCGGGACGACGGAGGAGGCCCAGTCTAGGTCGACGGAAGAAGCCCAGTCTCCGTCGACGGAGGAGGTTTAATCGGGGCGAGGGAGGAGGCCCAGTCTAGGTCGACGGAGCAGATATCAACGATAATAGATGAAATGTATATATTTGATGCCGATGGCATTTTCAGTTAAAATTATAATCTGATAGTTCTTAAAAACGCATCAAAATCCGTGCTGTGACGTTGCATATTTTATTATTTAATTATTTGTTTTTTTAATTTCAATCATACAACCTGTAGTTTGTATTTGATTTTTATTTCATATATACTGATAATTTTTATTGTAATTATTTGTATGTATATAATTAATTAATAAACATACTGTTATTTCAACATATTATATATTAATATAATTAATTTTAATACATCAAATTTTTGTTTACCTCTTTTTTACTTATTAGTATATAACTAATACAGCCTTATATAGCGTCTTACACAAATAGGTAAATTTACTGGTATTTGCATATTATACATTGATATGAATTAATAAAATGTATAGTAAATGTTATAAATATATATATATCATATGTATGAAAACTAAATATTATCTATGTAAGTATACTATAGTATTGTCAAATTAAATAAATATTATTACAGTATAATGAAACCTTTTAATAGTAGACACTCTCAGTCACCAAATTTTGTTAGCTATTTAGAGATATTTATTGTTTAGAAATTGTAAATTTTTGAAGTTCATAAAGAGTAAATGCGTAAGAGAAAAAAATGTATGCTAGGTTAAATTAAATTATATAATTATTTTATGTTTTAATGACATATATATAAATTTATAAACTACATTAATGATATTTTAACAATACATATTTAAATAAATATAAAAAAAGGGATACATACATACATACATAAATACACTTCAATTTGGTAAAAATCTGTTGTTTTTAAACGAGTTTGTTATCGTCATACCAGTGTAAGCACATTTTTTAATTATTATTTTTAAATTAATAATTAAATAAGAATCAGCTATATCCAGTCTAAGCAGCCCAGTAATTTTCTATGTAGCTAAGCGCCATACGTAAAAAAGTGATTCATGTCTAATATGAAAATTTATAACTAGCAGTAACGCGATGTAATATATTGAAAAGTATAAATTTCTTTTAAATCATAACATAATTTTTTAATGGATGCATATCATATAAATTACAACTAATCATTTGTTTTATAACCATAAAGTTTTACTTGAGTTTTGAATATCTTAGTATAGTTATTATAATACTGATTTGATAAGCAGCACTAATGGAATAACAAAAAATTAAATATATTAAATATTTTGTATGGATATGAAACTAATCATTTTTTATATTTCTCTTTATATTTTAAATGGCACTTGAGACTAATTATGATACAATCTTCTATATCATTTAGTTGTATTTATATTATGATTTCTTTTATCTTTTTGTTGAATAACATAAACAATATGCCACAGTATAACATACTATAAAAGTATCCAAAGTAACCTGAAATCACTACATGGACATCAACTGTTGAAAATTGTTTTTTATTCCGTGGTACAAGAAATAACGCGGAGGAAATTATTCATGAAAAATTATTTTCACAAATTGCATAATAGTCTTACCAGTTTTATTGGACAGTCTATAATTCTAATAATATAAAAATTATCAACACACTCAAATAAATTTCAATAACAATAATAATTTTAATATTAATTTATTATAATAATCAATATAAAAAAAATATACATTTTTAATAAGCTTTAGATTTGCTAATATGCATGTTGCACTAGAAAGCGTGTAACATTTTAGTAGAATTTTAACTAATTAAATTTAATAAGCTCTAATTGAGAATATAAAAAGACTAATGACAAAGAAATTACAAAAAAAAAGTGCATCAGGTGGAGAAGACACAACTTCCAATAAAACATCTAAAAAGAAACAACTGAAAAAAGGTTTGATTGCAACATAATTTTAACCTTATCTGAGTTGATTTCATTGTATAATAATTACCAACATTTTTCAGGAGTCTTAAAAACAACAAGAGCAGCACCTAGTAAAACAAATTTCTCCATGTTGCCACTAATCCAAAAACTCCTACAAATAGTGAAAACAATGTTGCAGAAGAAAAAAGTGCCCTCGCTGGTGCTCTATTTGATGCCGGAGTTGCACAATCAGCTGAAGTATTAGACATGCCTATTGATCCAAATGAACCAACATTTTGTTTATGCAATCAAGTTTCTTATGGAAAAATGATTGGCTGTGATAACCCAGATGTAAGAATTTCAATTCATTA